CTGTGTCATAAAAGATCAAAGCATAACAATAACATACAAAGGGTTAACAGTGGAACTCGAGATAAAACCCCAACTATAATTTTGTATGACATTGTGTTTTTTAGCATTACTTAATTGTTGTATGAATAAAATCATGCTGGGTTAATTCTTGAATAATAAACACATGTTGATTAGCCCTCTACTACGTACACTATGCAAGCAATGGTAAAACATTGTTTCATGCAATTTAATTAATTAATTAATCATTTTATTTAAAAAAGAGCAAAAATATTTGTCCTTCACATGGTTCACAATGCCAGATTTGTATTTATTTATTTATTTATAATGACAAGCAGGATGTAATTTGACAAATAAACGCATCTAATTGGTTTATTTAAAGTAATCTCTTCATTACACACCGCTTTATTGCCATTTTATGAGTATCCTGGGTTTGGAAATAGAAGAAAATGGGTTTGCTACCCTGAGGGAACATCATGCAGTAGAGGGTTAAAACTGAAGGCTGATTTGAACAGCAAGTTGTGCTTAACTTATGATGTAGTTTGATGGAGGCATGGATAGGTATACAGCTCTTGGTATACAGGAAATTGCTTCAATTACTTCCTTGTCCAGGCAGCCAATGTCGGACATACTAATGAATATATATATTTTTTTCTGATACTTTCAGTGTGTTTCATCAAATTTTGTCTGAAAGAAAATGTGTTATATGATTTAAGGTGACGAAGGTCATAGGTGAGTCAATCATATTTGACCATTTATTAGATCGATATTATCGATATTAAATTCAAATTTTTTGTAAATGCTACTTTTTTGGAATAAAATTTTTCCATTTGCTAAAAATTAAAACTCACCAAATAAATCAATATATAGGTCAAGCGTTAAGTTTAATTAAAAGTTTCCCCACATCAGTTTGATCGTGATTGATGATTATGACATTTATGATTGATGACGAGTCATTAAAAGTTTCCCTAACTATTTAGTTATGATTAATGATGAGCCATGATTGACAAGTCGTTCAGAAGTTCCATTACAAAATATATTTTGAAAGCTAGAAATAATGATTTTCTAGGAATTCAGGGCATTGTAAAATGGCACTGCAAACTAATTAGGAAACAGAGATTTATGAGTTCATAAATAAATTAAAACTTAAAATATATGTGCACTACTCCTCTTCTGACGAGATTAGCTTTGATTTGGGACTTCATTTACCTCATTTAAACCCAACCCATTCAGAATACAATTTTTAAATCAACATTAACTGCATTTGGAAACAATGTCTTCAATAGTATTCATGTAGATTAAGCTGTAGATGCCAATTAGAAAAACGAAAAGAGATGCACAAGAAACACAATTCGGGAGAAAACGTATCACAAGAGAAAACAGCTCATTTGTGTCTCAAGAATGCCCAAGTAAGACAAGGCATACTTTCTAGAGAATACAATGAAAGACACGACATGCTGAATAAGCAGTGAGGTTCCCTTGATTTACTCAAAGCCTACAAGGGAACCAGATGGATCTGTGTCACCTGCCCAGCTTTGAAGTTCACAAACCCCAGCTGGATATTCACCAAATGAGGGATCAAATTCTGTTTGATGCCATTTTTTCCCTCTGTATTGGAAGATAAAATAATGTGGGAAGATTTGTAGCCAGTGTCTCATCCTCAAGTCTGGATAATGAAATCTGAGGTTAGGGCTGCATTTCATAATAATGTTTGCGTGGATGTTTAGGTCGCTGGCTCAGCTAGGAGGCAACAACCTGAAGTTACTTGTCTATTAAATATTATTAAATATTTATGTAAGCCATAAAACCATAAATTGTGCAAGGATTAAATATATCTTTCATCCTTGTTTATATATTAACATACCTTAAAAGAATATTCTTTATTTACTCACTAAAGTCATTCCAAACTCAAATGTTCATATATTTTCTCCATAATAATTGAGTTTTCACACAGCTATTTATATAACAACAGCTCTTACACCATTTTTGCAGTGTATGATTTACTTTGAACCAATTTTCACTCTGAAATTACTAATCTTTTTTTTTTTTCAAAATTACAAAGAAATGGCACTTAACACATTTAATTAAACATGAAATTTTGAAATAGAAAGACTGAAATAGCATTTTCTTGTAAAACACACTCCATCTTTAATTTACAACTTTGAAAAATATTTTTTTACCGTGACCGAATCTGTCAAGCTCCAAAAAGGATAAAAAAGCACCATAGAAGTATTCCATACGACCCATAGAACATATTCCAAGTCTTCTCAATCTACTTGATAACTTTGCAAATAAAAGTCTCTATTCACTGATAATAGCCCCCTTTTAAATTTGATTCTTAAAAATGTTTCATGTCTCATGTAAAATTGTATGCGACATGCATGCGGGTGGGCAAGTAAAAACTGAGTTTTCAGTTTGGGTGAATTACTCTTTACAATATCAGTTTATGCTCTCCTCAAGCTAAATGTCACACGTGACTGGCCGGTGCAGTCAAACATTTGGCTTCACTGAATATTTCACAAAGCAGCAGGTCATGCCACTGTAAGCCAAAGATGTTTTCTTCACTAGATGAGGGTCCAGTGCACATAATTAAATGAAAAAGTGCCCTATTATTTACCAGACATTTCTAAAAGACCTTTTGCTCCATCTCTCATCAGTGTCTCATCTTTTTCTGATTCTTAGAAACTGCACTGCCCTTTGACACATGGGTCGAAGAAAAATCTCCATCCCTGAGCCACAATACCACGCCACGAATCCAGCCTTCAAATACCACAGTCTTTATCGACTGACGCTGCTAAGTGTTTGGTTCACTCTGCAAAATCATATGGATGTAATCTTGGTTATCCTTTAAATATTTCTATTGCAAAGACTACCGGATCAATAATTGGTTACATTATAAGAGTAAATGGATTTTAATTTGGTGATGAAAAATAACAGCTTAAACCAGTTGCAGTGTTGTAGTACCTCAGTCCAGACAAGACGAGACATGTCCGAGACTAAGACCATATTTTCAGGAGCATTTGGACCTGGCCTGGACTTGGACTTGAATGAACTGGTCTCAATTAGTCATACAAAATATGGTCTTGAAATCTGACTTGAGATGGTCCAGAGTCCAGTTTAGTTCATAGTTTAGTCTGGTTTAAGTTTGTTTAGCTGGTCTCCTTGCTTTACCAAGGTGGCCCCAAACCCTCCAAAACCATCAAACCAGTCTGGACAGCAGAACTCAGCCAGATAAAACCAGCAAACCACCTTAGGCAGGATTATTATTATTATTTTTCAACAGTCTATAACATTGAAGGACAAAGGTTGTGCAAGGTTCAGAAGAGGAACAGTAACTGTGTTATGGTGGCATTCAGCAGTAGGGTATGCTGTTTTGTAGCCAAATTCCAAATGACCTGGAATGGTGGGGTTATCTGAGATTCACTGATTTCCTAGTCAGTTTAAATTATGGGAGACTGGGGCTAATTGTCACACATGGACATCCACAAGGGCTGTATGTCAGTACCCATGCGGTTTTGAGGCAACAGTCCATTTACACAAATGCATATTTTCTCTAGCTTTATCTTTTGTTAATGTTTGTTTTAAATACCTATAGTTCAAAATCATCTTACACTACATCTTACATCAGTACATAGAATTCTGTCCTCCAAACTAAAAATTCAAATTATCATCATATTGTAATTGTTGTTGCATAATCAAATGAACACAAAATGGCAGCTTACAATAGGTTGTCATTTATTGGGGCAAGTTGTCTCATATGTTTTCCATGTTGTAATTTATTTTTATGCCAAAATATTGCTTTAACCTATATGAATTTTTGCTGTTTCATGTACTGTTTTGTTATAGCATGACAATGTGTCACACTGGGTCGACTGTTGTGTGTTGATGTGTGTATCTTTTATTGGTAAACATGCTTAAGTGCTTTTTTGTGGCCGAGAATTTAAGGCTTGTGCCTTTAATTGACTTTCAAAAATAAACCTGCCCTGAGAAATATTTACAGGAGTAAAACATGTGACAACTAGCACTCATCTCCCCTAAGACAAGCTGTGAACAAACTGAAAGTGCTACAGGGGGAATGCTTTTGTGGAACAACTGATTCTTCTCACATTAGGTTTATCCTGAGCTGCCCTTGTCATTTCTCAGCATAGCACATAAACAATGTAATGACATGAATACAAAATTAATTCACAAAACTTTTTTTTTCTGGTAGTCAGGAGGATAAACAATAGATAGGCTTTATTCAAAGGAACGGGGAATTAAAGCAGAGCCATTACAGTTCTAATATTGCAAGAGCACAAATGAAATTCTTAATGTTCCAGTTTATGACTGCACAAACCAGAAAATAGCGAATGGCACTGCAGGAGTGGGCAGGCATTAGACAAGTGATGCAAATGATCACCATCACATACAAATCTTCCCTTAGAGGCACTTATGAATTTGGGGCGTGCTTACAAAGACACTCTCAGCTGGAGGTGCATCAGCATGTTGGATACCACAACTACGCATTTCATCCACTGAGCGCTTGCTGGAGGAGGAGACACGCATCTTATATACCTAACCAACCGTCTTTCTGGATCACTCTGCTGGTCGGAACCGATCACGAGGCAGGTGTGCAGTGGATACGCCGGAGCGCTGTGACTCGTGGACTAATTGCGGAGCGCTTGCGGGAATACGAGGAGCATCTCTGTGCACGAGAGGGAATAAATCTCGTTTTCCTGTCCGAATCCACATAGACTTCGATTTAGAGGGCATTTCTTTGGTTCTAAAAGTGAGAGAACGATATCAGGAAAGATGTTACAGACGACATTAGGGGGTTAGAGGTGCTGAGGTTCATCCCATCACTGAATATGGAATAAATTCCCACGTCTTCTCTTATTTCGGAATACAGTGAACGGGAGCGCATCACGGTGAGTTGAATCATCAGCCATGCACTATTAGATTATTTAAAGTTAAACTGTAAGCGCAAGTTTTATTGGAGATGCCAAATAATGTAAATGATTGTACATTACGGATATCGTTAGAAAAATGACCACGACCCCAGTGACTTATAATCGTATTCAACGTATAGGCTACTGATAATTTCGATTCTTCAAAACCGGTGCCACTTGCGATCTTTTAGTAATTTTAAGGATGGAATACATGGGGGGAAAGCAATTAAAGCATTACTCGGCAGTCTGTATGTGGGATAATTTTAGATTTAAGAGGACAGATAGTTTATAACAAATAATATGTTTAAACGGGCTTAGACTTTTCACTTAGACATCAAATATCAAACAAAAATTTGGTGATTTAATTCATTCAGTCATTCATTCATATGACACCACTAATTATAACAAAACTCATATGTTTATCTTTCATGTGTAGCCTATCAACAAAACCTTTCAGCTTTAAGTGTAACATAACATAGACTCGTTTCATGTGAACAAAACAAAATTAACAACTTGAGGTTCAGTAAGCGATCGATTAAAAAAAAACACAACGACGGGTCCATACAACACTCTAAATTTTCTAATATTCTGGGTTGTTTCAACCCAATGTTGGGTCAAATATGGACTAACCTAACTGTTGGGTTAAAAAGCTAATTTAAAAATGTAACCAAAATTGAACCCAACAGTTGGGTTAGTCCATATTTGACCCAACATTGGGTTGAAACAACCCAGCATTTTTTAGAGTGAAGATTCACAAAAAAATATAAAAAGATTCGGATTATAAGAGTCATTGGTTGGAGAATTGGATTACCCATGTCGTGCTGCATTTTATTCACTGAAAATAATCGGATCACAAAGAGTCATTTCTGGAATCGGACTATGCTCATCGCTCTGTATGTTTTTGATTCACTAAAAAGAGCAAGGACCACATGAGAGTAGCCTACTTTATCCGAGAGTCGTACTATGCTAAGTTTTGTATCCACTCAACATGAATTGAATCATAATTCTTCGAGAATCGGACTAAACTTGTCGCGCTGTTGAGGAGCGGTTATAACACTGCTGTAGGAAAACCTGCGTCCCAAATCTTATAAAGTGCAGTATGTACTGAATTCAATGGAGCACTTCCAGTACTTCTAGATCGATGGTGGGCGTTCTTCAGGTATGCAGGAGTGTAGTAGCTATATACTGTATATCCCGACATGTTGGCATGACCTTTAACACGTATGTTCCTTGACCAATGATATTTTATCAACAACAGTGAAAACAATTTAATCAGCTGTTGTTAAACGAATAGAATTTGACCACAAGTAACAACTTTCTTTTGGACGTATAGCATGTGAACACTTAAAGCAACCAAATTTTGTTTGGCCGTATTTTATTTTTCAACTTTTTAATGTCAAATCTGTCAGAGCCTTATGCTATTGTAGTTGCAGCATTTGTGTGATTTATTAGGTGAACTGCATGCTGATCTCAGTCATGTAGGGCAGATCACATGAGGCACAAACATCACTCTTATCTTGCAGATAACCTTGTATTTCCTCAGACTCAGACAGATATGATGTATAAGGGATAAAAACTGGCAGGTGCTACCTATAGGTCTTCAACATCTCCATTTTTTTCTTATTCAAGTCACCCGTAACAAAATTCCCTTATAATGAATCCTTCACACAGTATGGAAGGCACATGTATGTGGAATTCCTTGGAGAGAAATTTCAGGGAATTGTGCTTTCCAAGTCTGGAAAGGTGATTTTTCTGGTTTTGCTCTGCTTTAAATATTTAAACAGATAGGCATTGCTAATTTGTAAATGAATATAACTTGTCAGCTTGACACATCAGTCTGTTGAGGGTCTTCTTGGACTCATCTGAACGCTAATAAGAATAATTGTTTAATCTAATTCCACAAAGTAATCAGGAATGACTGGGAATAGTATAGAAATTAATTTGTTGAAACATTTGAGAACACCACACAGTTGTCCGTAAGAGGGTAAAACCACATAATACTTGTAATACTTTTCTGACCCCACCTGGGTTAGTTTCTTTTGAAGTTAACACTCAAACAAGTATTAGGTGGATCAATAAACTATCAGCCTCTCCATAGATCAGCCAACACTGCCTTTATCGCCTGGTTTATAATCTCACAAAGGTGTGACTAAGCTGTGGGAACTTTAGTGCCATTATGTATTGAAGGAGTGAGACAGAGAGGCATGACACATACACATTCGGCTCTCTATCCGCACCACATCTGCTATTCAAATAAGAATGGGATCCTTCTCTCGTGTGATCATGTTTATTTATGGATGCATCTGGGATGCATGGCTCATCTCATTTTGTTGCTAACAACCACAGCCAAATTAGAGGTGAGAACACTGGGAAACAGCAGTGTGCAGAATTCAGTCGAACCACTCCACAGCACAGCTTGGCTTCCTCTGAGACTTGGTGTATAAAGTTTATTTAAAGAGAGACTAATGATAAATTTGAACATGAGGGAAGAATTCATTAGAGATTAAAGTAATGTTAGTTTATTTATTCTGCCTTTCTTAAAATCCATCTCTCGAATTTGCTTTCTGCAGTCTGGATCACAAAGCTTTTTACTCTCGTTATATTTCTAAGTCTATCTTTTTTAATCTCAGACTGAGGCCTAAAGGAATACTTTACCCCAAGATGAAAGTTGTCATTGTGTTGTTCTAAACCCTGTATGACTCTCTTATTTCTTTGGAACTAAAACAAACACATTTTGTAGAACTTACTTGTGGTCCACGTGATGCTATATTCCAAGTCTGCTGAAGTCAAGTCAATTAAGTTTGCAACTAAATCAATCACTGTCTCTGATTCATAAACAAATTGTTCAGACTGATTTTGTGAACCAGATCAAATAATTTATTGAAGATCTTTTAATGCTATTTTGAAACATGTAATATAGCGCAAAAGTTATGTGGAGCACCTTTTTTAAAACTGAGAAATCAAAATTCCTTGATTTTTTTTACAAATAAGAGGTCATTTTACTATAAAAACATCCTGTAAATTGAAGAACTCAAAATTTTCTTGTTAGTCTAAAATCAGCTTATATTGAAGCCAATTTGCCAAAATGACAGGTTGTGGAATGTGCCACGTTATAGCCTACTCAGAATAAGATCAACGCCTGCTTCTGCATTACTGCCTGTTTAGCCCCGCCCACCGATTCGCCATATGACTCTCTTATTTCTTTGGAACTAAAACAAACACATTTAGAACTGTAGAACTTACTTGTGGTCCACGTGATGCTATATTCCAAGTCTGCTGAAGTCAAGTCAATTAAGTTTGCAACTAAATCAATCACTGTCTCTGATTCATAAACAAATCGTTCAGACTGATTTTGTGAACCAGATCAAATAATTTATTGAAGATCTTTTAATGCTATTTTGAAACATGTAATATAGCGCAAAAGTTATGTGGAGCACCTTTTTTAAAACTGAGAAATCAAAAATTTTTGACACATAAGAGGTAATTTTACTGTAAAAACATCCTGTAAATTTAAGAACTCAAAACTTTCTTGTTAGTCTAAAATCAGCCTATATTGAAGCCAATTTGCCAAAATGACAGGTTGTGGAATGTGCCACGTTATAGCCTACTCAGAATAAGATCAATGCCTGCTTCTGCATTACTGCCTGTTTAGCCCCGCCCACCGATTCGCACATGTAGTGTAAATAACGAGAGAGGCAAACATAGGTCTATGCAGAAACCAACTGATAAAGATGCTCTGAAGACAACAAGACACTGTACAGTGCCAAGCTGTGTCAAGCCCTTTCTCTCCTTGCCCCATGACACTTCTATAGAAAGCACCTTTCAGTTTTATAGAGGAAATCTGTTTCTAGGAATGTTGGTCTACAAATCTAAATGCTGTGATGCATAAGCACGGTTGAATTGTGTATACCGCTGTTCAAGGATTCTGCTTTAGTTGCGCTCACCTCTGTATTCATTCATTGTTGGTCATTTTGCACTCAAGGTGCTTCAAGGGATAGTTCACCAAAAAATTACAATTACCTCATGATTTACTCACCCTCAAGGCATCCTAGGTGTATATGACTTTCTTCTTTCAGATGGATTTAATCAGAGTTATATTAAAAAAATGTCCTGGCTCTTCCAAGCTTTATAATGGCAGTGAATGGGTGAACTTAAGCCTGGGCGATAAAACGATATCGATATTTATCGACGGTACACCTTCATCGATAACGATATAAAAAAAATGTCGATATAACGCATGATATAGGCACGTGCTATGAGTGCCGCAGACAGCTCACACAAACACGAACACATGCTGAATTGAGTGCTGTGCCTGCCTGTGATGAGGAGATTGTAAATAAAAAAATGAATATTAATCTAATTTAAAATAAACATTTGCATTTGAATGCAAAAATGGTACAATCGAATGTTAGGAGTGCGTCAGGGAGCGTCATCAGTGGAGCATGAGATGCGGTGATGATGTAAGTGACGTTGCACTTGAATGTTTTGTTAGTCTAGCCCACGAGACGCGCCGCTGCTGTGTTATTCGTTCAAAATATTAGAGAAATATAGAAGCTCAATGCGGAGAAGATCTTGATTAGGTTAAAACCGAAACCAAGCCATTCACACAGAACGCATATTCAGCACATTTTTACACGGACAAATATGACTGCTGCACTCGCGTCTCATGCAAGAGATGCAAAGAAAGTCATGCAAAGTTAAAACAGTTTTAACATTTAGAAAACGTGACACATTTCACTGTGTCTCATATGTTTTTAAATGTAATCTGTGTGATCGGCGATTTGGCTCTTTGTATTAGGCTAAGCAATGCATAAACACATGATACTGTTTTGTTCATAATTGTTTCTCCAGTTTACAAAATTATATTTGATTTATATATGTTAATTTAGACGTTATGCACGTTTTTATAGACAGTTATTTGAATTGACAATTAACTTCTATAGAAAGCACCTTTCAGTTTTATAGAGGAAATCTGTTTCTAGGAATGTTGGTCTACAAATCTAAATGCTGTGATGCATAAGCACGGTTGAATTGTGTATACCGCTGTTCAAGGATTCTGCTTTAGTTGCGCTCACCTCTGTATTCATTCATTGTTGGTCATTTTGCACTCAAGGTGCTTCAAGGGATAGTTCACCAAAAAATTACAATTACCTCATGATTTACTCACCCTCAAGGCATCCTAGGTGTATATGACTTTCTTCTTTCAGATGGATTTAATCAGAGTTATATTAAAAAAATGTCCTGGCTCTTCCAAGCTTTATAATGGCAGTGAATGGGTGAACTTAAGCCTGGGCGATAAAACGATATCGATATTTATCGACGGTACACCTTCATCGATAACGATATAAAAAAAATGTCGATATAACGCATGATATAGGCACGTGCTATGAGTGCCGCAGACAGCTCACACAAACACGAACACATGCTGAATTGAGTGCTGTGCCTGCCTGTGATGAGGAGATTGTAAATAAAAAAAATTAATATTAATCTAATTTAAAATAAACATTTGCATTTGAATGCAAAAATGGTACAATCGAATGTTAGGAGTGCGTCAGGGAGCGTCATCAGTGGAGCATGAGATGCGGTGACGATGTAAGTGACGTTGCACTTGAATGTTTTGTTAGTCTAGCCCACGAGACGCGCCGCTGCTGTGTTATTCGTTCAAAATATTAGAGAAATATAGAAGCTCAATGCGGAGAAGATCTTGATTAGGTTAAAACCGAAACCAAGCCATTCACACAGAACGCATATTCAGCACATTTTTACACGGACAAATATGACTGCTGCACTCGCGTCTCATGCAAGAGATGCAAAGAAAGTCATGCAAAGTTAAAACAGTTTTAACATTTAGAAAACGTGACACATTTCACTGTGTCTCATATGTTTTTAAATGTAATCTGTGTGATCGGCGATTTGGCTCTTTGTATTAGGCTAAGCAATGCATAAACACATGATACTGTTTTGTTCATAATTGTTTCTCCAGTTTACAAAATTATATTTGATTTATATATGTTAATTTAGACGTTATGCACGTGTAATTTTTTTTCAGTTTTGGTTTCAGTTATTTTAGTACATAAATGTTAATCTAAATGAAGATGAGAAATTATCAGTTTAAGATTAATGTTGTGCTATTACTTCAAGTTAAACTTGACACTAAGCTTGGCAGTTCGCTGAAATAAAATAAGTTTAGAAGAGATATATGTGTTATATATATATATATATATATATATATATATATATATATATATATATATATATATATATATATATACGTATGTATGTATATATATATGTATATGTGTTGTTTGTCTTAATAAAGTGGGCAAATTAAAAATACAGTGGTTAAATAAAAAAAAAATTATATTGCTCTGTTTTAAAAAAGGTTATAAAAAATGTCAATAATTATCGATACCGAACGATATGAAACATATATCGTTGATATATTTTTTAGCTATATCGCCCAGCCCTAGGTGAACTATCCCTTTCGTTGTCATTTTAGTATAATTTTTATACTATTATAGTATTTATTAATATTTTAATTACCTTTTATTTAATTTTTTCAGTTCAAATTTCAGTGATTTGGTTTTGTGCTTTTGTCATTTTTATTATTATTATTTAATATTTTGTTTTAATTAACTTTTTGGATTTAGGAACTAATTATATTATTTTTACTTCAACTTTATTTCAGTAAGTTGCCAAAGCAACATTTCTAATTTTCACTTTTTTTTAAGATTTTCATCTAATATTTTTTTTTGTATTTTATTTATTTATTTATTTTATTAATTTCAATTAATGGAAAGTATTTGTAATTGTTTTAGTTCACAATAAAAACAGTGGTTGCAGCAGACATAATCACAGTACATTTTTCTCCATTGAATTGCTAAGGTTTGATGGTCAGGCATGGAACATGGTTTACTCTCACTATCAAAAACACAATATACAGTCAACTTCACCACATTGTTACAAGAACTGATGATTTATAGCAGGAGTATGAAACCAGCTCTCACACCAAATGTTTAATGTCAGTCGAAGTACCACCAAGCAGTTGATCTACATTAATTATAGTCTATAAGTACATGTAATGCTCAGGTTCATGGCTTTAGTGTAAGTAGTTATTTAGCTGACACTTCTTTCCAAAGAAGTATACTTATTAAAGGGACGATCCCCATGGAATAACCTGGGGTTAAGTGGCTTGCTCAAAATCACGATGAGAGTGGTTTCAGGGGCTGTTCCCTCCAGAACCTCAGTTTGTCAGGGGATAAGTAGTTTTTGTTCAGCTTTCTTGTGGAAAACAAAACATTGTTTTTCATGATCCTGTTTTTAAGTTGCAACCCACCAGTTAAGAATCACTAGCCTAAACCTAACCCTAATATCAGATTGATAAAAAAAACAACAACATCTGGTTGATAAAATATTTTTCCTCATCAAACAGTGGGTTGCTGGCATATCATGCACCATAATCATGAGAGCTACAGTGCTTGGCATGTTCATTAACGCTTCCCATACTGACAATCATCTCTGTAATACATTGTTTTATCTGATTGTAATCACATGTAGACCGTTGTGCATGCCGGTCCAGTCCTCAGATCTTGACATGCATGAAATCAACCTGAATTGCTTCCCCCACCCTGATATCCTTTGCAAAACAGACACCATTAAACACTTCTTATATCCATTATATGACAAAACAGTGTTCATGCTAACCAAGTAATGGTGCAAAAGGAGCACGCAATGGCTTTTATGGCATAGCACTGTTGCGGAGGTGATGCTGCACCACCTCGTTACATTTGCTAGTCGAATGCTGACCATTTTGCTTAATAAGATGGTTGGAGGAAGCTGGTGGAAATGACACCACAGCTCAGTTTTTTGGAAGGCTCTTGAGAGATTGGTTGTAATTGCAATTTATGCCCTGTCTCTCGTGTTGCTGGATGTGACATGCACGCAATTTGAAATCTACATCCAGTTTGTTAACTCGCATTTTCTTTTTACAACAGAAATCTGCTCTTGGAAGCCTTGCTGTGGAGTGTGAGTTATCCTTTATTTTATTGGCTTGCCTGTTAGCATGCTTTTGGGGGGGGGGGGGGGGGGGGGGAGGGGGG